GTCATTAGTAAAGATGTCAAGTATTTCAGTTTCATCCCTGCTGAACGAAACTTGCCAGGAGGGGGGACCCTGAGTAACTACATGAAGAAACTGCTCTGCCAATCTATGCAAGAGATGTAGCTGAAAAGAAATAAGCTTCTGTTGGGTTAGGCACCTGAGACACTTGGGGATGTTTGTTATCGCAACACACTCTAGCTTATACAAATACATGTAAACAAACTAGCATGTACTAATACGTATTAAGTACCAGAAATTTTGTGAAGACTTCACATGTATCACTCTACTAAATTTGCACAAAGCCTAAAAGCCAGTTATTATATTACAGTTGTTATACTGTATATTGAGTTTAAGAAATCAAGTCAAGGTAAGAATGTATTTGTCCAAGGCTGCCTGCTAAATGGAAGGATTGGAAATGTAACCCAAGCAGTCTAGAGAAATATCTATCAAGCTGTTAACAGCGCTTACCCTTGCAGGTGAGATTATGGACTGATCACTCCTTACTTTGCATTGAATTTTTAAAAATAATGCATTAATTTTGTAGTAAGCAAATAAATCAGCTATCTATTAGGTACAGATTATGAATTCAGAGATGAAAATCAGGTAATCATGGGATATTGGTGTAATTAAGGAATTTCTAAAAATGACTTTCTACCATCATTAGGCATGTTTGGTATTACAAGTCAATTCTACTAAGTCAGGCAAATTATACTAAATTTTATAAGAAAGCTGCATTAGCTGAGAAAAATACTTCCAGGAAGGAAAATAGAAGTGCTTTTGGCAGTGAAGAAATAAAGATGATTATGACCATAGATTCATCAATGTTGTAGTTCTGGAAAAAATTTTTTGCATTCCCCAGCACTCAATATCTCTTATCTCAGTCCCCCCCCTTTTTTTTTTTTTTGGCAGAACCGGGGATTGAACTCAGGCCCTTGCTCCTGGCAAGCGCTTATTCTACTGAGCCATCTCCCCTTCCCCTCCCCGCAGCACTCAATATCTCTTATTAAAAGAAAGAAATAACTTGCCTGGGTATGAGGGCACTTGTCTGAAGTTCCAGCACTACAAGCTGGACTACCATGCCTGGCCCTTGTATGACTCCTGACAAGAGGCAAGTGGAAGGCTAAAGTATCAGTTGTCCCAGACCTGGGACAGCTGGGCAACAAGTGCGTCACCAGAGTACAGTGCTGTGATGGTACTCTGGGATGGCAATTTAATCAAGCTATTCCCCTAGCATGACCTTGGCTGTGTTCATGGCTGCCTCAACCACCTTTAGTTTCTGAACCTCTTTCTCCAGCTCTCTTGGTCTCTTTAGCTTGGAAACAAGAATATGATTACTGCACAGTAGCTACTGCCCACTGCTTACAGTAGTTTGAAGGCACACTGTCTAGGAAAAAAGAACCATCTGTAAAGAAATAAAAAAACCTAAACCCATTATGTGATAATAAATATCACAAAGGCAGATTGACTAGTTCTTAGACTTCTCCAAGGTTTAATCTTTTGTTTTCTTTCAGGAATTTCTATCATTCCAGTATTCACTAGTTGCATTCATAAATCTCCATGAGCTTAACTCTCATCTTTCCTTTATAATATCATTTTCTAAAAAATCAAAGCTTGTTTAATTTTGCAAGGACAAAGAATAAAGCCAGATACAATACTTTCTATTTCACTGTTTCATGATGCCAACAGCTACTTTCTTTTTCTTTCATTCTTTTTTTTTTTTTTTTTGGAGGGGTGGGGACAGCGTCTCGCTGTGTAGCCCAGGTTGGCCTGGAATTCACAGCAAACCTTCTACCTCGGCCTGGGACCACAGGCGTGCACCACCATGCCCGCCCAACAGCTATTTTCCGCGAGAGTTCTTTCACGTTTCTGTGAAAAGTTCCTTTTCCAATTCCTTACCACCTTATGCTGTAGTAAAAGGAAAACACATTGTACTTCAAAGTTTTTCAATTTGTTTAAACATAACAAAAACCCCTTAGTCTTAAACTTGACAAACAGCAATAAATCTGACTAGGAAATTCAGATGGTGAAACAGAACAAACACTCCAATGAAAGGGACATCTGAAAAATAACAAGACACCTACACCGACTCACGCGTTAACACCTAGGACCGAAGAGCCGTGAGGGCCACAGGGACGGCTCCTAACGGATGGACAAGATCGCGAGAGGAGGTAACCAGGGGCAAGAGGCTAGCCTCCGGTCCCTAAGATCCGAAAAGACACACGCAGGCCACCACTTAGGATGCTTAGTGACTCCCAGGTACTACTTGTACTCACAGTCCTAGTGAAGAGGAAAGGATCTTAACCACGAGGACGCACATCCGGTGGGCGGGCTTCCGGTGCCGACAAGGCCGTCGCGCGCCGACACGCCTGACCCCGCCCCATGACCCCTGAGCCCCGCCCCGCTGCCCACTAGGCACGCCCCTTGACCTCCGGAGCCCCGCCCCGAGTCGCGCCTCGCCCCGCCCCCGGCCAGGAGGCCTGAGCCCGAGAGTGCCGCGTCGCCCTCCGCCTGCGCCCGCCCGTGCGCCGCCCTGCGTGAGGGCAGGGCGGGGTGGAGGCGTTGGCTCTGCCACGTCTGGGCCGCGGTTCCCCAGCTGTGGCGCTGGCGGGACAGGAGGTGGGGCCGGCGCTGAAGCCGGATCCGGATCCGGTACTCTGCAGCCCCTTGGGGTAGAGTCGGACGCGCCTGGCGGGCAGCGCAGACTGCGGGGCCTTTGCGGGTGAGGACCGCCGGGGTCCGAGCTGGGGAGCCGGGGTCAGGGCCGGGCAGCCGCGGAGTTGGGGCCCTCTGGGCCTGCTGCGCGCTCGCCGGGGCGGGTGGCGGGTCAGCTGGGCGGCGGGCCGGGCCGGGAATGCGGGGAGCTCGCGCCGCTTCTGCCCCGGCGACCGCCGCCCGGCCGGCCGGCTCGAGCCTCCGGAGCGGGGGCATCCTTTGTCTCCGCGCGGGGCTTCTGACCCCGAAACCCCGGGCATGGGATTTCTATCGTAGGAGCTGGTGTTGGTGTGCAGTTCCATGAAAGACTGAACGCGAGGTTACGGGGTACGTTTTGGGAATGGGGCTCAGAATCCTTGAGCCGTTTCAGGCAGGGTTTAGGTTGCCGGGGGAGCCAAAGCCACCTGTCGGGGGGCCGCGGTGTAGACGGCCACCTGGGGAGGGTTTAGTGTGGAGCGCACCGGGCGAGGACGCGGTAGAGGCTTGTGGTCCTGCGCACGCATCTGCTGCGAATCCTTGCTAAGTCCTGGCGGTTCCCTGGCCTCGGCTTCCTCTTCAGACCCTGGGAATAACGCCTGGATGGCAGAGGCCAAGTGGGCTGTCGGGAAATACTCGTGAGGATCGGTGCAGGCGCACAGTTTGATCATGAATGAAATGTTCTCTAGATTCAAAATGTAGGCAAATTGTTTCAGTTGTCATGCAGTTTAGAAAAGAATTCTAATGTCTCAACAGCACAAATGTTCCCTTCTCCCCTTCATCGTGTGGGGGAAGATGCTCCAGGAGAGCAGCGGGGGGAGGCGTCTAGTGACAGTTTAGCTTTGGCCTTAGATTAGGTTTTTAAATTTGTGTATCGACTGTGTTCCAGTGTCTACTTCTGCTCACAGTTGCGTTCTAAGAGCAGCTTCATCCCATTTATATTACCTGATACAGAAGCTGAGAAACCAAGTTGTGGAAATGTGTTTAAAAAATCAAGTGAAAACTTCCCAGTACTAGTGAAAATGAGTTTGGTGTATGGTTTTTGTGATGTCACTTGTGGCAATCTCTTTTGTCTTGATTTCCTGAAATGTGACCTAGATAGGTCTGATTATCATTTGTTATTCATTCACTAGGCATTTACTGAAGTAGGGCTAGGCAATATATTTGCCTTGTGGGCTAATTTACCAGTTCTAGCCAATAAACAGACAAGGTTCTTGAGGAATATTAGAGGAGAATTAGGGTTGCTTTTGAAGACAAAAGGGATTTATTCACATAGCCAAACTTCAAGTGTAGGAATGGTACAACAAAAGAAAAGATCTTGAAACCATCAAAAAAAAAAAATTATCCACAACAATTTCTCTAGTTACAGAGGTTAGATTTTGGATAGGACTGACTCCATAAATCACATCTTCACAGCTTCATGATGGAAAGATAGGGATCTCCCTCTTCTCCATTTTGTACATCTTACTAAAAGAAAAGAGCCTTACTATTTTATTTTACCCTTAGCTACACAGATCACCGAGGCCAGAGAAGTGCAACCTCATTAGTCTCTTTGGTGGCTAGTGTCCTAGTGTTCCTGGTCAGAATTGATTTGGCTTTTGATACTGGCTAGTTGGGCTAGGTAATGTCGTTTGGTTAGGGATCATTGTTCTCTATACTTGCATAGTATGGCTTCTTTGAAAAGTAGCATACTTTCTGACCCATTGACTTTGGACATGGCTCCTTGGCCGATGGGTGTGGGTGGGAATGATAACAGCTTGTGCCAGCTATCCATAGAAATTTATAAGAGGTTTTTGTTTTTTCTGTTTGTCCCTTGAGCTTCTGACCTTTGCAAAGAGAACGGCTTTTCTTGGGATTCATGGCTTCAGTATGGGTTGTTCAGGTTAAAGCCCACTACAAAGGATAAAGAGGAAGCTGCACAGGTCCAGGCCTGCAGGAAAGGACAGCGCTTTGTTGTTTTATCTAGGTGTGTTAACCTCCAGGAACTTTGAGTTGAGCTGTTTTCAAGCTCCAAGGTTTCCTTTTTTTTTTTTTTTTGTGGAACCAGGGATTGAACTCAGGCCCTTGCGCTTGCCAGGGAAGTGCTTATTACACTGAGCCATCTCCCTGGCCCCAAAGGTTTACTTTTTAAATTAGTGCAAAAACTTATTAAATAAGACTGTGACAGTAAAGATGGTATGTACTTCAGGCAACTGTACCAACTTCATGTAGTGAAATTTCCTAGGTTTGTATTTCTGGGGGCACCTTTTGATGATAAAATATTTCTTTTGTAAACATCAAATAAAATTATTTAGTTCTTTTTAATGTCCTTTGGAAATCTGGTATCAAATCACATGTTTTACTTTTCCTCGCATATTAGTTGGATACCAGGAAACTTTTACTATTTGAAGACAGAACAAAATCAAATGAGACTTAATTATGGCTATTGCGTAAAGTAGCAGATAAAAACATCTTGTTACTCTGGTTGTCTGAAGATTCTTTGCTTTGGCTATGGTATTTTTGATTAGTCAAATTCTTATTTTCCAAGTGCTATCTTGGCTAAATTTTCAATCCTTGTACAGGAAGTAGGGAATTCATCTAAATTAGTACATCTTTGGTAGAGGGTTTAGCACAGTCTGAACTCATTCTGGATAGCAGGACTAATTATATCTTTGTTAAAAAATGATTAAGAGGGCCAGCCAAATAGCTCAGTGGATTAAAGTGTCTGCACAAGGGTTAGGGGTTCAATCCCCAGGCCTGCCATGCTGGCCCTGACCCTGGGGCACCCTGAGTCAGGGATTCAGACTAGGCGTCGTGGCGCTCACCTATAATCCCAGCTCTTGGGAGGCTGTAAACAGGTGGATCACTACGAGTCTGATGTAGTAGTGAGACCCTGTAGACCCTTCCTTAAAATACAAAAAATAACAAGGTCCTGAGTTCAATTCCCAGAATAAAAAAAAAAAAAAAAAAAAAAAAATTAAAAATGTCAGATTACCAGCAGCACAGTATTTAAACCACACAAAGGAGACCAAGGCCCCGCAGAGGTCCAGCACCTGTAATTCCAGCCCTGCTACCTTCTTCTGAATTCTAACTCTTCCTCCCTGGCACTGGAACCTACAGCAAATGTACTGAGCCACCTCCTCCCCACTAAAATGTTTTCAGTGTTTGAAAGAGTTACCAACTATAAAGTACTCTAGGATTAATGATCATTTGTAGAATAGGACCAGCTGGTTAAAGAAAAGCTCGGGAAAATTTTTCTCCCTGTACGCTTCTCATGAAAATTACTAAGCTTTTGAGTATCTTTCAGGCTGTGTTTTATTGTAAACTCAAGCAGCTTTATAAGAAAAGAAGTCTAGTTAACCTTCAGTTTCATTAATGCTCATCATTAAATAATACAAGCAAAATGTTTAGTGTTGCCTTAATAAGGAATTTAAAATGTAATATTTTCTGCATTTAATGTATACTTTGATAGTCCTATGTGTGTGCATATTTCAGAAGCATTTTATTTGTTTAGTTTTTTGTTTTTTTGGCTAGCTCAGGATGGCTTAAGGGCAGGTTGGGTAAGGCTTGAGGATCTGGGGATCTAACCACAGCATCCTGAGCCTGACTGCTTTGCTTAAAAAGGCACTTAAACAACTGAGCTAATGGGCAGGCCCCCTGTATGTGTGCATATTTAAAGGCGATGTTATTACTTCTTTTTCACATGAGATTACAAACAAAAGCCTCAGGGGTTCAGTTATCAAAGATAAACATTAAAATTCATGCTCTAAAGTTAACCTACAAAAGAGTTGACAGTGGATGGTGATTGTTTTAGTTATCACAATATCCTTTCCTCAATATTTTTTGTTCTAGGAATAGTATAATTTGATCTGAAACCTTTCAGAGGGGAAAAAACCCCACAACATTGTACAGCATTGTACATACTAAGTGACATTTTTATTCTTTTCTATACATTTTTATTCTTTTCTATACTAAGAACACTAACTTTTGGTTTAACAAAAACATAATCTCTTATTACGCAGTACAGTGCCTGATTCATGAATTAACATTTGTAGTTAAGTCTGAATTTATTACTAAGTAGAATATGTCTTTTTGAGTATTCCCAGGGTGCCTGGTACTGCTAAGTGCTAGTTTGCACAGTCATTTTTTCCCTCCTAATAAATTCATCTCTACTTTATAAATACGGAAAGTAAGATTTTAATTACCTTAAGATCACACAGTTGTCATTTGTATAATAGCCCTAATTCCAAAGCTCATGATCTCTCTATGCCAGGGTTTGAATTTTGGCTCTATCACTTTGTAACCTTGGCAAGCTGCTCAACATCTGTCTTCATTTCCTCACTTATTAAAATGAATAATGAACACACCTACCCTGAAGGATTGTTGAAGTAAATAAACGCGTAATGTGTGAAGTTCTTTGAACTGAGCCTAGCACATAGGTGTTCAGCAAGGGTTAAATTCCATTTTTATCCCCAAAGCCTACGCATTCCGTTTAGTTATAGGGGTTGTAAAGACAGAATTGGGGGAAGGGTGAAACAAGGTTCAGTTTTAAAATGTAACAATTTCTGTAGTTATAGGAATAGAAATAAAAAGTGGAGGTTCAGTCTTCTGATGGTCGGGAAGACTTTTTTTCTACAATGTGATTCAGTCCATTTTATTCTTTGTAAAATTGTTCATCTCCTCTGTTGTGATATATGTTACTCTTATAAGACCATTAGTGAGAACCTGTCTATTTCTGAATAGACTAATGTTCAAGAAGGGAAATAACCATATTGGTTATTTTTAGTAGCATAAAAACTTTTTTTTTTGGTCACAGGGCTTGCTATGTAGTAGGGCTATCCTAGAATTATGTAGCCCAGGTTGGTCTCAAACTCATGAACCTCCTGCCTCAGTCTGAAGGCAGCTGTGTTTGAACTGCTTAGATGCTTATAACAGAGTTTAAACTGCTATGAAAACAAAATCCAACAGCACTCAGCTGGTCTTTCACAGCTAAGACCAACCATTACTCTGCCTAGTTTTTTGAGCCTGTTAAAGAATGCTTCTAATTCCATTAATTTATATTTAAGAAATTAGTATTCTCGTAGTCATAATTTTTCTTTTGTTAAATAAAATACCTTAACATATAACTTTTGGTTCTTTAGATCCTACTGGAAAGATGAAACCTGATGAAATACCCATGTTTGACCCAGGTCTACTCAGAGAAGTGGACTGGAGCCAGAATACAGCAACATTTTCTCCAGCCATTTCTCCAACACATCCCGGAGAGGGCTTGGTTTTGAGGCCCCTTTGTACTGCTGACTTAAACAGAGGTATGGACTCATTTAGTTTGCCAGTCCTGATTGAAATTATTAAATTAGCTTTCTGTTTTCTCCATAAACATTAAAACATAACTTTGAAAAATGTTTTTCTGCATTATTTTGCACTTTTTTTTTGAGATGGTCTCGTTGTATAGTTCAGGCTGGCCGCAGACTTGCAGCAGTCCTCCTTCCTCAACCTGTGGAGTGTTAGGACTGCAGGCATGTGCCACCATGCCTAGCCTTATATACTTCACTTTCAAGAGGCTGAGATACTCAATTCCACTGACCATGGCCAAGATCAAATATTATAGTGAAGCTTTTCAAATGGCTTAAATATGACAGTGCTTCTTCCAGAAAGACTCCTCATAAATAGAAGTGAAGTTATCCTAACCGTTAAGGAACCAGGTGTGGTGGCACATGCCTGTAATCCCAGCACTCGGGAAGAGGTTGAGACAGGAGGATCACTGAGTTTTAGACCCTGTCTTCGGACTACAGAAGCAAGCACAAGGCCAGTCCAAACTGCATAGCAAGAGCCTGTCTCAAAAAAAAAAAAAAAAAAGTTAAGTGTCTTCCTTAAGAAGTTGAATAGAAATGAAAGTAGAGACAGTTTTCCTTGGGTAAGTTCAAAGTACTATTTCTACGTATTTCTTTTATTAACATTTAAATTCTCCATCGTAATTCCCTTTGACCTTGGCAATTATAAAGTAAAATTGTATCTCTCTCACTTTAATTTGGGTGAAAAATCTGAAGAAACTAAATGTTATCCTTTTTTTTTTTGATTCAGGGTCTTACCACTTGTCCTTGAATCATAACAACCATTTTTTTTTTTTTTTTTTTTTTTTTTTAAGACAGGATCTCACAGTGTAGTCCAGGCTGGCTTCCATCCTCCTGCCTCATCCTCCCGAGTGCTGGGATTACAGGGATTCACTACCAGGCCCTGCCATACTGAGAGAATCTAGTATTTCAAACTAAATCATGTATTTGGGAAAACTTGCCATTCTTGCACTGAACTTAAATTACACTGAGAAGAAAAACGTGTATGCTAGCTCCATAAATCTGGATATTAAGATTTGTACTATGAACTAAGCCAGCAAAACGATTGGTGAAGTTTACAGTCCTTTGTTACTGATTATAGAAAACAGGTTTCAGTTAATTTTATTGAAGCAACAGCTACTCTAATCCTACTAGCTAACATATTAACTGCTTCTTTCATATTTTATCTCCCCTTTGCTTTTCTTGTCATGTCTTAAATTTTTTTTCCCAAACTAGGTTTTTTTAAGGTACTGGGTCAGCTGACAGAGACTGGAGTTGTCAACCCAGAACAGTTTATGAGTAAGTATTATAGCATTCTCCCATAGAAAAGAAAAAAGGTTTAGAGCTCTGTTCAGTGCCTGCTTGTTTTTGTTCAAATGACTGGATTATTCAGCTAGCAGGTTAGTTTCTTATGCAAATGTTTGTGACTTGAGTTGTCTATCAGAATCCAAAGGTATTAATTACCTTACTTTGTAAAATAACCTATTGTGAGATACTTTTGAGTAAGTTGTAGAGGCAACTCTAGGTATTTCTTGGGTTTATTGTATTTCTTGTATGTGGCTACAGAAATAGCTTACCAAACTAAAAATGCAGGAGTACATGTTCTATAAAAAAAAAAAAAACAAAACAAAACAAAAAAAAAACCTATAATATTCAACAACGGAACTTAAAAAAAAATTGGGGTATAACTATGAATGTCCATTTTGTATCTGTGTATTCAAAGTGGTTGGGTTAGATATATAGTTGCATTCTCTTAATGAATAGAATGATTTTTTCTAATGGTGTTTGTAAGTAGGATCACAAGTCTGCATCTTGTACAGCAATTAACCACTAAGAAGAATATATGCAGTGTATTATTTGTTGAAAAAAAAATAAAAAAAATAAAAACTAAAAAAAAAAAAAAAAAGAGTACATATTCTAACTAATTTTGTTTTCAATTGAATTGTAAAGTCGGCAGATACCTTAAAGGTAGTCTGTCTCCCTTTGAGATGTGAGAAAAGTGGGTATCCAGAGATTCACTGTCTTACCCAAGATCAGAGGCGGTTATTCATAAGGCCTAGAACCTTCTTAACTTTATCCAGTGTTCTAATAATACTGCTTTAACATGCTTTTATTTCCCACTTGACTCTGGGTATTTACAGCTTGTAAATCTAGGAGTTTCTGCTAGTGACTCCTTCAGCACAGGGGGTCTGAGGTCAGAGCTGTTTTGTGCCATCTATACAAGTTTTGTTTTTTTTTAATATCTTTTTTAAAATTTTATTTATTTATATGTGTGTGTGTGTGTGTGTGTGTGGCCAGCTCAGCTCACCAGGGGGCGGGGCTGGCTGGCATGTGGTGCTGGGGATTGAACCGCATTCCCTGTGGTTTGCTAAGCTTGTTCTAAGTAGGTGCTTTAGACCACTGAGCCATCTCACCAGCCCTATACAAGTTTTGGCAGACTCCTTCTCTTCTGTTTTGGCCTGTTAAACTTGATCCCTTTTCTTAATAGGGAATCTTGTATCTTGTTATGAAGGTTTCTTGAAGAGCTTATTTTTTGCAATTAATCACAAATTTGTGTAGAGTACATATATAGCAAATTAAAAGGACCCAGAAAGCTGAACCCAGTATTGCCCTGGGTACACCTATTGGAATGTTGAATTGGGGGAAATTATTGGTGGGGTCGAGATGGATTGGAGGCAGTGCTGTGTGCACTGGTTGGATAAGGGAACACTCTGTCATTTATATAATAGGTGTCAAAACTTGTCTTCAGCCTTGGTGCTTTGATCCTTGTTTTGCTCCTACAGCTGTGGTCTGATTTATTTAATGAGGAAACGGGCATAAGAACAAACTTTCCTTTGTTGGTAACATCCATAGGCAACTGTTAAAAGGGACTAGGGCTTTCTCAATTTCTAACCCTAACAGCTGGTAATTGGATAGTAAACTGTTTAGTTACCAAAAAAAAAAACAAAACCAAAACCTAATTTGCTTTCTCCTAAACACTCATAAGAATGAAGACCGTCATTCTGATTTTCATTCATTAAATTTATTCTTTCAACTTCAGACCCCTATGTAGAGTGAGACTGAAAATAAAACAAGAATTTGGTTTTTAACTCGATATCCTTTTGCTTGCATAATAGATTAGATGGGAAATAGTGTTTACTCAGACATATAAGTACTAAGAATTATTTGAGGGGAAAGTATCTCTGCTCCTGTTATGTGATTTTTGAAAAATTACTTGGAAATGAAGTCATTTTTCACCTGCTATGTGAGGTGCTTTCAAAACAAACACACAGCAATTCTGTTTCTAAAAGAGCAAGTGTGTAATCATGAAACACTTGAAATCACAAAGGGAGAACTGAAAACTGTTTTGTCAAAATATTTTGAAACTTCAGAATTACTGAATATAAATGTGTTTCTTAAAATCTGCAAAGTGCCGGTCTATTTGAGGATCTGTTGGATGTAGAGGTTAAACCTAGTTAAAGTAATACAGACTGCTTGTCATGACATACCAATTGCTGCTGTGCTGTCACTCGGGTAGATGACTGTTCAAAAAGAAGTGAGTGGTGAATGAAGGCAAGAGATAGGAAAAGGAATATTGTGGGACTGTCCTGCTTCAAGGTTGTATATGGTGAGATTTTTGGACTTATGTGTAAAC